AAATGAGGACCCAGACTGTGGGGGCGATATGCTGACTCTGTAAAACCGCTTAGAGAGGGCTGAAAGCCCTATGAAGCGGTATATAAGTCTAACTGCTATTGCTATTGCTAATTTAAGAAGAAACCTACTCCAAATTGCCTTGATCTGTGTCTCACTCAGGCCTTGACATGAGGTTAGAGCACAATCCTCTTATATGCTAGTGAAATTGTTGGAATTGCATAGTTGTTACTCATAGGGATGAGATTTATATCTTGCCTAGCAAAAGCATGCGTGTTTTTAAAATCAGCACTCACTGAATGTGACTTTTAATATGATCGTTGTGGTGATATTTACTTGTCTGGGTACTGAAACTAAGTGGGCTTATATCTGGTCAGTACTTGGATAAGAAATTTATCAGGCCATTACAGGAGTGGCCTGATAATTTCAATAAGTGCAAGATTTGGAAGTCAGAAAACATCCAAGAAGAGGCTAATTTTTAGACTATTTCCAAGAATGCTGCACAACTGCATCCACATAGACACTAGGAGTCAAGCTCAGTTTTGAGAATTTACCTTCTAAAAATTGTACTGTAGCAGCAATTTTGAAAATACTTTCAAGTTTTCACGTTGGGCATCGCTTATATAATAAAAATCTGTGCTGTGCCTATGTGCACACAGTGCCGGTTGAAAGAACAATATAATAGTTGGGGGAAAGACATATAAAGGGATCTAAATGATATTATTATGCACCTCCTTCTACTTTCCAATTCAATGGCCCTGTGAAAAGCTAAATGTGCCTATCTGCACATTTCTCCACTCTTCCGAATCCCAGTCAACTGCTGAGTAGAGAAAACAAAAATAGCCACTTGCTTGATAAAACTGCATGGAAGGTAGTACAGGGATTCAGATGGCTCTTGCATTGCAATGTCTTTGGCAAGGATGATCAGAATGATACAGCTGTAATTTGTTGGTTTGCTCCCTTTCCTCTCCTGTTCATTTGCATAGGAACGTTACATATTGACTGTTTTCTATGTTTTGTTCTACGATTGTCGTCAAAATTTGCTTTTCATCTTCTTGGAACTATTTCGTAGGCATTGTCTATAAATGCTTTTAATAAACCAAAATAATAAAACGAACAAATAAAAAGATGGTCATTGGAATCTAGGTGGCATCGAAATACGTATGAATCTGGGTCCAATTTCTGGGAAGGTTTTTATCAGTGATGAATGTCATTTTTCTTTAGGCAAGTTGATTAAGGAAAGAGAGTTAAAAGACCTCATGACTGCAAACTGTTCACTTAGTGTCTAGGTTATCAGCCCAAAGTTAAGTCAGTTTGGATACATAATAATGTATGGCCTAGCATTTTATAGGACGCAATTTGGTACTGTCATGATTTGTAGGATTGAATCCAGTTCAATCTCTGTGACCGGATTGGATCCTGCAACATTATACTGGGACACATATATTTGCCATCATTCATGTCATCATTTGGATAGTAAAGCTATTGTAAAGTTATCCCCGTGTTTTAGAGAATTGGGAGAGCTGTTTGTTGAAAGCCATCTGGGGAGCTCATCCAGTCAAGTATGTCATGATTACCCAGCCTTTCCATAAATAGTTCTTACCATATTTGACTCGATATAGGACATTTCCTATGTTGAAGATTGTGTAATTAATTTAAAAAAACTTCACTGGCTGATTTGAAGAGAACTTTCTTCTTGATCTTAAATGTGATCATTGAAGATCCCCCATTTCATGTCAGGTCAAGGGAGTGTGGCCTGATGATCTGTAGCTGTCTCCCTGCTATACACAATCTTGTCCCCTAAATAGCACTTTAGCAATAGCACTTAGATTTATATACTGCTTTACAGCTTCACTAAGCAGTTTACAGAATCAGCATATTGCCCTCAACAATCTGGATCCTCATTTTGCTAACCTCAAAAGGATGGAAGGCTGCGTCAAGGTGAGATTTGAACTGCTGAACTGCTGGCAGGCGGCAGTCAGCAGACTTAGCCTGCAATACTGCAATCTGCATTCTAACCACTGCACCACCACAGCTCTTCCAGGATACTCTGACTTTCCTTGCCTTTCATAAATTACTTTTGACTGGGCTTAATTGTATTTGAGTTCATTTTAGGTGGCATAATTAACATCACTTCTTCCTGTTTTATTATATGTATTCTCTAACTTTGCAAACTGCCTTGGAGTTCCACAGAAATGAGCAGGGCATAAAACTCAACCAACCAACCAACCAACCAACCAACCAACCAACCAACCAACCAACCNATTCCCCAGCCAGCGAATGCTGGCTGGGGAATTCTGGGAGTTGAAGTCCGGACATCTTCAAGTTGCCAAGGTTGAGAAACACTGTTCTAGATATTAGAATCTTGGGAAGGAGCCACAAATCTAAACAGTGTTCATGTAAAGATTAAGCAATAAAGGGCATCTCCCTGGCTTGGAGGCATTAGAATTGCATTTTAATCTGAGGCTGCGCGAGCCACTGCCACGGCTAACACAAATTTAGCGGTTTGGATTCTTGTCCTGTTCATAAAAGAGACATCAAGCAGAATTCTCTGCAGCACTTAACTATGGGGATTCCATCCATGAACACCAGCGGGTAGAAGATGTAAGTTAACCTTGGACTTAGAGAACCAAGATGGCCAAAGGAAACCTGAATGGGAAATCTACCGTTTAATTCTCTCTATTCTTATAAATTCACGGTATTTTGTTCTTGATATTAAGTAAGTTTAGACAATTTGGTTTCAAAGTGATGAGCTTGACAAGTTTTTATAAGCCTTAGTAAACCAGAATATCTCAGTAAAGACTACAATGTTTATTTTCCTTTAGGCACTTTACAACCAATATTTACAATTTAAAGAAACAGAAATCCCACCAAAGGAGATAGACAAATCAAAAATCAAGCATCTATATAAACTACTAGAGGTAAGCTATATTTGTTTGGACGGGTAAAGGCTGGATTTATTTCTCACTTCTCTGCTTGATTTGGTTTCTCGATTTTATGCAATTATTCCTTGCCTTCAAAGGTTTGGATTGAATTTGGGCGTATCAAGCTTCCTCAAGGCTACCACCCAAATGACATTGAAAAAGAATGGGGGAAGCTAATTATTGCTATGTTGGAAAGAGAGAAAATGCTTCGACCAGAAGTTGAAAGGTGAGTTGATTATTTGTTTTATAGGCATTTTTCTCTGCTGGGTTGAAACTGCTCAGTAGGATGCATTATATAATAGTCAGAGACTCTTTAATCTTGAAACAAAGGTCATCAAAATTTCCATTGTAGAAATGAATTGTCAGGCGAGCTCGTTCATTGGATGTTGCTTTTAAACTGAACAAATATCTGTACTTATGCTTATTTTTATTGACATAATTATCAAGCAGCTTATGCAGAGTTCTGTATTAAATAGCAAATGTGTAACTGTAACCTTGTGCATCAGAATTTGGACATTTATTCCAGTTATAAAACATTGCTTGCAGTTAAACAGTTTTCTCAAGGTGTATGTTTCAATCCTGACCAAATTTTGGGTAGATAATCTATTTTTTTTTTAATTAAGGTCACAGACCAGCAAAAAGTAGATAATACTTTCCAAAGTTTACCAGGGCATTTACTGGATTGAGTGGGCTCTCACCATCTTTTTTCTCAGAAGCCTCAAGAGGGTTAAAGTGGTGGTTACCCCAAGTCTTGGTGACCCCCCAACTGAGATGGCAGACCAAATCCCTTGGAAAGGCAGCCCTGGTAGATTTTATGAGAGCCTTGTGCCATGGTGTCTGCTCAAGGAAATTCATACTGATGCCAAGGACATTGTGTGCCATGAAATCAAAGCAAACAGGCTCATTCCCCAAGGCCATGTGCAGTCTTGGTAGTCTTTTCGGTACTTCCCGAGCCTCCTGGATAATTACTGAGAATTTGCATTATGTTCCCTGCTAGTCTGAGGCAGAGAAGAGATGAAAGCTGCACCTTCAGCACCCAAATAAATTTAACAATGAAAAATAGTGAATTCCCTGTCCCCTTTCAAGGAAAAAATGAAAATCTTGCTTGGGCCAATACAATGGCTTTGCCTATTCCACTGGTTACGATGCTCATCTTAAGTATGATCCTTGCCTTTCAAGAGTTATGATTTATACCAGATATCTATCTATCTATCTATCTATCTATCTATCTATCTATCTATCTATCTATCTATCTATCTATCTATCTATCTA